ATCGATGCATCGATACAAAACGATTATTATTTACACCCCTAATTTTGACAGGTACAATATAAAAAAAGATTTACTCCTGGGTTTGATGCCATTGTTAATGCAAAAATATTCTGCCCTCTGTATGCTTTTTACCTTATAGAGACATGTTTAGGTAGTTAGTTGGATGAAAGCAGAAAAAAGACAAAATCTAGATATGGTTCTCTCCTTTTGATTCAGCCTGTTTCACATACATTCTTCCTATATGACCAATCAAACGTGGAACTTAATTGATTCTGCTCTGTATTAATGCTGTTCTAATCTGCTGTAATCTTGTTAGAAGTGATCAGCAGAAGAGTTGATTAGAGCACTCAGCTCTTTATGCACTTAAACTGAACCTCAGCTTTGATCCTGCCCCAAAGGTTCAGCTGCAGAGGGTTCACAGGATGCAGAGGCGCTCTCTGAGTTTCTGTTGTTCCCCTTTCCTTTTGTATAACCTGTCAGATCACCATGTTCTCCTTCAGACTGAAACATAGAGGCTTAATAAATGGCATCCTGTTCAGCATCTTCACCCCTTGTTGTTTCTTTTCTTCCTCAGACCGACCCTGATGGCCTGTCGGTGCTCCAGCAGCTCGGCTTGGACCAAAACTCGGACTTCTCCGACAGCAGCGTGCAGCAGCACCTGGATGAGCACCGGGAGAAGATCCGCAGGGAGATCCGCAAGGAGCTGAAGATCAAGGAGGGCGCAGAAAACCTGCGCAGGGCCATCACGGACAAGAAGAAAGCCCAGCAGGTGGACTCGCAGCTCCGCAGCTCCAAGCGCAAGCTGGAGACCCTCCAGGCTCAGCTGCAGGAGCTGGATGCACACATCGTCGTCAAGGGCCCAGATGATAACAAAGGTGCGGTAAAACACCAGGGAGATCCACTGTGGAGCAAAACAACAACTGAATCACTTCAGCGTCACTAAAATACAAAAAATCCATCCACATTTCTGGTTTAGTCTCACTATAAGCTCAAAAGTTTTATTTTACTTTATTTTAATTAGTTTTTTTTTTGCCAAAGTTTAAACAGCAATTAGGCTTTTTTCTTTTTACTTCCTCCTGTTAGTGAGTCATTCTGGAAACTTCCTTTGGATATTTCCAGAAAGTAAATAATAGACTAATAATTATTTTTTATTAATCTAAAATAACAATACTCTTATTAAATTAACACACAATTCCAGAGAGACTACAGAGAAAAATCAAAGCAGTTCTCGGTTAAATATATTTACAGATAAAGAAGGTTTTACATTTAAGATGCATAATGTATGTATATTTTTGTACAGTTTTGTTTTTAATTACTTCAACAAATGGTACCTTTTAAAGTCTGTTTTCTACAGTTAATAATCCCAACAGGTTAAACTGCCTCATATATTGGATGCAGTCAAGGGTGTAGCTTAGAGATGAAAGTTGGTGGGGGCGCTTTAAGGGTGGGGGCTGATGGACCTACAGTTACTCCACCTGAAAGCTTTTATTAGGTTTTTGTTTTTTCCAAAAATGAGCTCAAACATATATTTATTGAATGATGTCCTATTATTGAGAACAGAAGAGAACCATAATGCACTGATATTTAAATTTATAGGTAGTTAGATATTCCTTATGCTTTATATATATATGTATATATATATATATATAAATAGGGCCAAAAAATATTAAAGTATAAAGAAATAATGAATAACAGCCGATTCAGATGCCAAAATAGATATATCATGCATCCCTACGAGTAAAATTTCAATTCCATCCACCCATCCAGAAAAATATGGATATTCTGCATTTTAAAGATAGCCATTTTTTTTCTTGTAAACTTCTTGCTAAACTTGGAGATATATTTTATTGCATGTTGCAGTAAATCTGTTTCCCCTTTAAATCTGCAGCTCTCCCTACTTCTAAGCTGTATAAAAAGATTTATGAACCTCTTTACTAATATGATGATGCCAGAAACTAAATTTCCAGATATGTAGAAGCTCTGCAGTCTGATTCTGTCTGATCAATAAGAAAACATGTTGATTTTAAGCTGTAACTGAGAGTCATGGTCCTCTGAGAAGCCAAGATTTTTTTAACCAGTAAAGAAGTAAAGAAGAAAACAAAATTTAAACTGTTTTCTCAAACTTCTTTCATTATAATACTAACTTGTATAAACTTACAATCTGTTGCTATTTTTAGCTGAAAAGCTCTGTGTCTCTAACCAACAGATTTTTCAGTGGCATCTCTAATTTTAATCAACATGTCTCCTAACTTTCACTTAAACATGCATCGAATTAGCTGCCGTTTAATGCTGCTCTTTTTGTACACAATGAAATGCGACCGCCAATCAGATGTCTCAAAGCGACAGATCCGATGATGTCACACCGAGAGGCGGGACATGGGAGCAGCAGGAGAGAGGAAAAAAAACACTGACTCAAAATGCTCTTAACACAGTTAGCTGCACCCAACCTCCGTTACCTTTGGCTACAGAAAATAAGCGGAAAGAACAAAAAGCTAAGGGTATTGGTGGGAACATGTCCCTGTCACGCCTGTGGATGCAGCGTTTATTAAAGCTTTGACCACTATGTTCGGGAGTCCAGCTTGAAAGTGACGTACTAAACACTGCATAACTTACCCAAATATTAATGTAATATAGGTTATATCAAATTATTTTTCAGGTCATGACAAAGCATTCAGTGTGTATCAATGCTCTGTGGGCTCCACTGCTCAGAAAAACCTGCCTCTCTAACCTCGGGGTCGGATCTGTCACTATAAATGATTAGACTTAGAGTGTCGTTTTAGGACAGCTTGACTCCAATTTTACAGTTTGTCCAGCTCCTCTGCTCCAATATGCTTCCAGCTATGGAGCTAGATTGGTCTCATTTTTCACAATTACGCACATGTGATTCATACATGCACAGGACAAGATCTACACATACACAGCACGATTCATGCAAGCACAAAAAAATCCACACACACAAAGGACAAGATTCACAGACAGAACCATTTATGCAAGCAAACAAGATCCACACATGCACACTTTGGAAGCCCACAGGAGCTCCACAGAGCTTCCACAGATGCTGCATTAAAAGCCGGTGAGAAATTCAGAACTTGGACCAAAACAGCTCCTCCTGAAAACAGCAAAAACATTTTCACTCTTCTATTTTGGGCATCCAGAAATGTTTAGAAGTGGCATTCTATGATGGGTAAGGATCGCAGAGAAGCACCTGAATATTTATGCATTTAAGGTTCAGTCGTTTGGTGATTGTAATAGATCTAATCTGCTCAGTTAATTACTTAACACACATGTATGAATATAATTGGAAATGCCTTCATGAAGTAACCTTTAATTCACTTCTTGGAAAATCTGGCAGAGCATGCAGTTGAATTAAGTGGATTTCTGAATATTAGTGATGACATGAGCCGAGGCTTCGAGGCATGTGTCGAGTAATGGAGGGGGCGTTTCCACAAAGCATGTGTCGAGACGTGATTCATTTATGGGAGGGGCCAAAATTGATGACGTCCGAAGCCTCGTTACCCTGACACCACGAGACCCCTGCGGGAAGTGGTTCACACAGCGCAAGAACTTGGACAGGAATTTAAACAGCCTCACTACTCAGTTAAGATGTGGGAGTTTATAGGAGAGTAGTGGTCAATTAGATAGATTCTAAAAATAAAAGAAAAACAAGCAATCTAGTTGGTTGAAACAATCTTTTTTTTTTCGATCATCGAATGTAATGATCAAAATCTAAGCAAGCCGCTGGACACAGTTGTAACTTAAGTCTTAAGTAGTATTGTTGTCTAGGGAGCAGTTACCAGTGTTAGTGAGGTCAGCTGTAATTGACTTCCACTTTTGAAAGTTGCATATATACTTAAAGGTGCTGTAGGAGATCTTGGAAAAATGGTTCCAGGAAACTATATTTTTGAACATACTCAACAGTGCCTCTCCCGTCAGACCACCCCATCGAAACCACGCCTTCAAAACACATGAACACGCATACTGTCTGTCCAGATGTTCGGATGTTTCCGAGATCGAGAGCGAAACACGGGTAAAAACACTCCAAATTAGATAACTCTGCTTGAGCTTATTTTACAAAAATGGCAGGAAAACTGTGCACCTTAAATGATTGTTCTCATCTAAGACATTTTACACTAGAAAAAAAAAACGTACATTTGATTATACACACCGATTATTAACAATTTCAAAGGAACTTAAATAGGAAAGGAAAAATATATTTTTTTTAAATCACAGATTTTATTACTGACTGTAGTTCTGCTTTCCACCAGTAGGCGGTGACATGTTCAAATGAAGCTTCATGAACCCAAATGGCTCATGAGGCTTCATCTCACCATCACTACTGACTATATTTGCTGCAGCATCTTGAAAAAATAGAAGCAAAGTGAATTTTGCTGCCCTGCTCTGCTGTGTGGAGGGACTGTAAATTATTTCATTGGTTAGTACGGAACCTGGGATGCTGACATGGACAATAATATACAACATGCCCACAAAATACTTATCAGTTCCTACAAAATATTCATTTATGGCCAAAAAAGTACTTCTTTGTGTTCACTAAACACTGATTTGTGCTCAAGTTCTCTCAAAAAAACTAATTTGTTTTCAAACTTGTTTTCACCGTGTACTTAATTGTGGCCGCAGCATAAGTATTATGGAGGACCAACTCTGCCATATTTAAAAATAAATACCGAAATAAATAAATAAGCTTTCAATTAATTGCCTCAAAAATACAACAAATATACAAATGTAGGTAGAAATTAAATTATACAGTGAGTCATAAATGTATATATCTCTTTTAATTAGCTTATTTATCTATTCGCGTTTATAATAATTAGCTTATTTATTTATTATCCGTTATAATCTTCAACTTTATTTATTTATGACTTATATTTTTAAATATTTATTTAAGTGCATGTGATAATATTTTTTGTCTTTTTTATTCTTCCTTGGTTTTTTGGTTTTTTTACCCTATTATTTCTTTAACGCCATTTATTTCTGCCTGTCGTTTTTACATTTCTGTCTGAATTTCTGCCTCATTATGTAAATGAGGAGGGGGGGTGTCTTAGAGGACAACTTTTTGAGATATTGTATTTTTGGGGGCAATTAATTGTATGCTTATTTATTTATTGAGCATTTATTTATTTCTGTATTTATTTTTTAAATATGGCAGAGTTGGTCCTCCATAAAGTATAAGGTGAGCATATAATTGTAAAACATTATCCTCCTACAGCGCACCTTCTGTAACAGTAGAGGAACAAACCATCATGATAGACAGGGGTAGTCTGATGGAGCTTTATATTAGATGTAGGATAAACTATAAATAGATTCTGATTTCTCATTTCTGAGGCATTTAAATAAAATATTGACAGCCAGGTATGATTGATGACCACATGCTCAGATGCGTGCCGGACTGTGCTGTAAAATAACACCTGCTGCTGTCCACCTGATGTTTGTCTCCAACATTTCTCACTTCAGTTTAAGTTCCAATTGAAGGAGGAAATGATGCAAATATCTGATAAATGCAGCGATCCAATTAAGCAGCAAATTAGTGCATTCACTATTTTCTCAAAGTATTATATGGATCTTATAGGCAGCTGCAGCAGAGATGATCACTATGTGGAGCAGGTGGAGGAGAAAAAGAAGAGAGGAACTTCTTCTTAAAATGACTATAAAATGACTATGACTAGTCACCTAAGATGACTTGGAGCCTCAGAAACCACAGAGTGACGTCTACATTAACTGGAGCTGAGTTTCATCAAACCTGAAGTGGTCAGAGTTTTTTTCCATCTGCAGCGGCTCTTTACACACGCAGGGCTTGTTGTGCTGCGTCATTACGCTGATCCTGCTGTTTATCCGTTTGTTTCTCTTCTCTTACTTCACTGTACTGTTACAGTTTATAACTTTGCTTCCATCATTCACAGCAGCAGTATCTCCGGCTCTGGACTGACTACAGATAATTTCTCCCCATAGTGCACATTTACACATGCTGAATGCTGTGAGCAGATGCACATGGAAGCACAGTAGTAGCCATTCAAAATTTCCCCACTTTCCAATTCCTTTTAAACATCAATCTTTGTACTAAAATGTTCTTTCTCTCATTATTTGTGGACATTAAGATCTAAAGAAACGCGCCTTCTCCTGGTCAGACCCTGTAATTCAGTGAAAAAAAATAAGCAAGGCGGGGGTCACTTGACATTTGACTGGGAAGGGCCATTTTAAATGAGTGCTACTGTATATAGACTCCATTCTGCTCTGCCAGCGATAGGCTCTAAGGCTGAGCTCTTTGGACTCATCCTTTCAAAGTTCTGGTCCTCATTGGTTCCTAGTTTAAAAAAAAAAGGGTGATGAACATCCTCTAGTACCAGGAGTCCATGATGGGCCACTCAGCAGGTGTTTGTGGAATAAAATATACACTGGAAAAAATCTCAATCTAGATAACTAATTTTTTCTTAAAAGAAATGCATTTGTTTTTGGATTGAGGAGGTAAAAGAGACATTTTGCCAATGGTACGAGACAATTTACACTTAAAATAAGAAAACACAATTGCATTGTCTTATTCCAAGGGCATATTATCTAATTATCTTATTTTAAGAATAAAAATACTCATTCCATTGGCAAACTATCTCATTTACCTACTCAAATTAAGTGTAAATACATTTAATTTAAGACATTTTTACTTATTTCTACATCATTTTTTCCAGTGTAGTCATTGCTGTGCTGAACCAAAGGTGAACGTAAATGGAGACTGGAAATGTCTTTAAATCCACATTAACGTGAATTCAGCACACTGTAGTAAACAGATAAATGGAGGCAGAAGATGTCTTTCAGTCATCAATGCTCACATTC